GTGAAACTTTTATTATGGGAATTACTTACAAGCTCATGTTTCTCTTGTCCCCATAGGATATTTACACAGAATTGAATCATTTCACCGCCAAAAAAATGACATACAGCTTCAGGTAGGAGATTATAGAGAGTGCAGGATTCAGTGAATTTGCTTTTAGTGGTATAGGAATATGAGTTGTACTATGGTTTTATCGAGTCTCCACTTGAAAGATTCAATAGTGGGTGCATGAACGACGTGAGATGGAAGGGAGTTCCAAGTACTGCATACTCTGACTGCAAAAGACTGGCACCGGCATTCTTGCCCATACTTTGGAATCAGTTCTGCAGTATTTGATACGTCAAAATCAAGTCTCCTCGAGTTCGGCGGTACTGAGCAGAATATAGTCCCAATGATCGCAATCTGTCCTCGCATGACAGGTAATGGAATCCCTTGACCATCTTGGTGGTCATCTTTTGTTGGCGATCAAGCGTCTTGCGATCACGTTGCAACCATGGGCTCCACGTTTGGATGGCGTACTCGGTGTACGGTCGAATGTACACTGATAGCAAACGTGGGAATAGTGATGATTCAAACCGACCAAAGACTCACCTAAGCAAGCCGACATTCTATACAGCAGCGCAAAAAGCCTTAGCGCAGTTGATCGAGCAGCTTAAATCCCCTTGAACAACAATACCTAACTCCACTTTACTTGAAGCATGTGGCAGCTGCTGATATCTGAGGAAATACGAGAATCTTCCCTTGTGGCGTAGGGATAGGACTTTGCATTTAGAAACATTGAATTCAATGTCTTTCTCCTTAGACCATTGATAAGCTGCGTGAAGTGATTCTTGAAATGCTCGAGAGCCCTCGGTTTCTGTTACTGTATGGCAGATTTTGGCGTCATTTGCGAATAGTATTATTTTTGGACCTAACAATTTCGGTAGATAATTCATGAATGCGAGAAACAGACGGGGACCGAGTACGGACCCGTGTAGAACACAGCGGATGGCATTGATAAATCGGGATATGGAATCAGAAACACGAACTGATATGATAAGCAACTAAATGGACTCAGAGTGACAATGACAGACAGACAGGGAGAGATTGAGAAGGCTAAACGCAAATCGGATTGAAGATTGAAGCGTATTTCGTTCCCGACAATGTATGCAAGTTGAAATACAAACCAAGAAATCATCATATTTATGACAATCATCTACACCTTTCCCCACCAAGCTTTAGCCAAAACCCGCAATCCTTTAGCCTCGACCCGCAATCCATTAGCCAAAACCCACATTCCTTTAGCCTTGACCTACATTCCTTTAGCCTAAACCCACCTTCCTTTAGCCTTGACCTACATTCCTTTA